AATGATTGTCTATCTGAAGACTTTTTAGTAATTCATTGAATATACGAGGTAAATTGTTAGGAACAGGAAGAATATCTGATATTTGTTCACACTTACATGGATGAGGATGAAAACAGATATTTCAGTACATACAATCGTGACCTTCGTCCACTTCATCCATACACTAATGTAACAACAGGTGAAACCAATGAAAGATTTTTAGAATTAATTCGACGAGGCCTCATATCAAAATCAGTTGTCTCGTCTATATTACAATTATTATCAGATATTCTTCCTGTTCCTAACAATTTACCTCGTATATTCAATGAATTACTAAAAAGTCTTCAGATAGACAATCATTATACTGAGAGAATATATTGTACAGGTTGTTTTGAAATAGTTGATCAGCAAAAGAGATTATTATGTGTGAACGAAAATTATGTTAACTATCAGAAATTAAAATATGATCTACTAACTGTATTTGATGGTGATGTAAAATCACTTTTATCCAGTGTTATTAAACGTAATCTTTCTGAAATAGATTATTATTCAAATCAAACTTCACCAATATTTGACGATGATATAATTATCGGTGAAAGATATAGAAAATTAAAAGAAACACATAATAATCGTCCATTTATATCTTTAATTTTTCATCTAGATGAATTTCCTTTAGTTAAATCCACTAAATTTTGTTTATGGACGTTTTCAGTTTCCATAGTTGAACTAAGATCATCTATTAGAAAACGTCTTAAAAATATAATTCTATTGTCTGCAGATTTTGGAAATGGTAAGCTAAATGTCACTATTTGGTTGCAACATGTGGTTGAAGAATTAAATAAATTAAAAATACCTGGCATTTCAATGGAGTCAGATAACTTAAATATATATTTCTTCAACGTTGTTTATTTTGCATTAATTGGATCATTTCTTGCACAATGAAAGAAGAGAGGAAAATGATTCTTTAGTACAAGAATATTGTGAACCACTATCGAAAATTATACCTGATTGTTTCGATGACGATATATTAAAATATCATTCGAATGTCTGAAATTGTTTAGATCCAGATAAATGTGTAATGATATTTGCTAGATTTAATATCTACAACATTTGTTATTACTCTTTATTATATACTAAAGTTGGAGTGTTAGTTAGTTATTTTGTTGCTTATAAAGACGAGTCAAAACTGAAATTTGGAAAAATACTCTACTTCTTTTTAATTACCAATGTTGACTCATATGCTTATATACAAAAATATGAACAAAAAGCATTGTTTTCAGATTATATAAAGGATTCGTTTTTTTATGAAAGTGTCAAAAACGCCTTAGATATGTATTTTTTTGTTTTAGAAAAAAAACCATGTAAAACAAAAATTTCAGTGTCTATAGACTATATTATTCGTCACTGTATTGTTTTTGAGACAGATAATTCTTTAACTGTTATACCAGTAAGTCGACTAGATGAACACGACTAGTTTTGTGAATAAAATAAAGTGGATAAACCTAAGGTCTCTCATTCTATCGCGTAATTTTCCACTAAGATAATATACGGCGATTGCATTGGACCACTTGGCACTGTAACAAATAGAGGTGGACTTATTTTAAAAATAGTTGAATCTTTTAGAAGACCATTGATCAAGCTGATTGTCACCTCCAGTATAACGAATATAACGTGTTTCTTTGAACGAGAATCAAAAAAATGTATTTTTTTAAGAGTTAGTTAAATCGTAAATACGGTTTCACGATGCATGTTCTATGATTACATTATTTTAGATAGATAGATATGGTAGCATCACGGCTAAAAAGAACAATTAATCCACCAAATAATTATACACCTGACAATAGTTTCTATTGTGTATTTGATAATAGTGGTCAAGATGCACTCTATTCAGTTATCCACGAAGATGAAATAATTGGTAAACGTGGAAAAAATATTATAATAATTAAAAATAATAAACGATTTGAAAAAATAGTTATTGCAAAAGGTAAACTATGTAAACACCATTAATATTTATAGATAAATGCCTCGTGTAATCACTGAAAAACTACCTGATAATCTATCACTCTTCTTTGGTGATTGACATTTCTATAAAAATCTCACTCATTTTTTCTGCTCTTTTATTCGAGAAACGAACGTGAAATGCAAATGAAACAAACATTAACAATTACATAAAATTACTTCTCAACCAAAAAACGAAAATTTTACAAACGATTCATTGGATGAAGCTGAATCAGAAGAAAATGAACCACCTATTTCTTCACAAAAAGGTAAAGAACTTCTGAAATAAATTTATATGGGTGTGAATATGTCGCAGTGAACAGAATATGATGTGTTTGCGAGCACATTGAAGGCTTAAAATATTTTTACTAAGCATATAGAGAGAGAAACTCTGAATTTAAAACCTTAGATTAATTTTTGTCTATACTTTCTCCTGCTAAAAGTCTATATGAGCACATAAATCTTATCTTTATCTTGCTTCATTTTTCTGTACAACTCCCTCTGTTTCCTATACACGTTTTCTAGCACCAGCTACACAAACAAAACTTGTTAGACAAAGTGTATTAAAAAGGGGAAATGAAGATGATGAAACGGAGGATGACTATAATAAAGATAATGAATTATTGAGTGGTACTTCATATTTTGCATGTCAAGATTCTTTACGAAAGACAATCAAAACAAAAAGTCCATTATCAACAAGCCAATCATCAACTGTTGTGAATGCTACTATTGTCGCTGCTGGTGATACTCTAGATGATCCTCGATCATCAATGAATTCAACAACATCAAATACCAGTAACAGTAATAGTAGTGCTGCATCATATACAACTACGTTACCAAATGAAGTTGTTTCAACCATTTCAAATCAAATTAATAATTTAGGAAAGCAGTTCTATACTTTGGCACGTCAAACAAAAGAGCTTGTGAGCGCCTTCTCTCTATAATTGTTGTAAAGCTTTTCTCCCGAGATGGCTCACTTCTGTTTCTTTGCTTTCTAGATAAAAAGCAAGAAACACGATTATGAAGTTGATACAAGTTCAACTTTCTTAAAAGAAATTGTAAGTTTTACTCATGCTTATAATTTACTTCTTCTCTCGAACTATCACTACATCCTCCTAGAAGGTACAATGAAACCTCCATAAAGGATAAGAGCCCTGTCTTGTTCTTCAAACAGATTGCAATAGAGAGCAGATGTGTAGAAAATATGTCCGATTGCTGTAGTAGTAGCCGCATATTTGATGTCCGACAGCATAGAAAATTCGCGAATTTTTTGCTTTATTTATTTTTAGAAATATGAAAATGAAAATTTATTAGAAGTGGGAGGTGCTAGTCCAGCTGAATATGGACGACGAGTTCTTCAAATTCTATTCAATAAACATCAATTAGCTACTCATTCAATGCCTCATATTCATCGTACAAAATCACGTCAAAATGACCTTCCACAATTGGATGAAGAAAAATGAAAATTTTAAAAAGGAAGACCATCTGTTTCTATTTCCTTTAAAGACAACGTTTTCCTAAGAGTAAGACGCCGGTATTTTTTTTGAGTGAAACCAGGTTTTCCTTATAAATAGCAGATATCCATCAACAAAATTTTGTTATACTCTAATCTTGTACCTAATTGCTGCATTTCAAACAGTTAGATTACTCTACTAACCATTCTGCATGGTTTTTCTTAGCTATAATATGTTACTTCCTAATACTCTTTGGAACTAATGTCTGTGCTTTTTTCGTCTAAATTGATTTTGAAAAAGGAAAAAAAAGTTCGAAATCTCATACTTTTCTGAGTAAGAATTAGCGGCTATCAAATTCGAGACGTAAAATCATAAACTCCACTCCGAAATACTTAATAACTAATGACTATTTTTACTGGTTTTAGTGGCTATATAGAATAAGTTTTGTATCTCGTCAAAACATTTTCCGACGTATTATGAAACTGTTTTAATTAAATCTTTCCGAAATTTGTGTTCCAATTCAAAAACAAAAGAAAAATTAGCCGCACAACTTCGTCATCAAGCTCCGGCTACTACTACACCTACTACTAATACTACTATACAGCATCATTTTAGTTAATGATTTTTAATGATTAGAGATACTCATTTTTTCCTATAAACGTAGTGTAGATTATAAAACTATGTGTTGTACATTTCTGATTCTTATTTCATTTTCTTTTTTGTGTTTTCATGCTCTCATTTAACTGAGCTGTTTTGTTTTAATAGTCTGTTTCTCTTCCTCCTTAATCCAGCATGTCACTGTTTTTATTAACAAAATAAAAACCTGTTTTGAAAATTGCTAATTGTTCTATTTGTAATTTATATTTGTAATGTTACGCGCGGAAATGGTGGAATAGTCTTAAAAAACACTTTGCATCTATCGCTCAGCGCTCTAGAATTCGAGATTTCTGTCAAAATGAAAATCTGCTACAAAAAATCGTTCTGCCGAATACACCTTTTTAGACCGTTTTACGTTTTTTTTAAGCTATTCAAACGGCCACTTTAGGGTCTTAAAACGGTGTCATTTGGCTGCGAAGTATTTTAACGTCTTGTGTTAGCTCTTTGTAAGATCTATAAATGAACTTTCAAATGACTGTTAATTGACATTTTTTACGCCTTAGGAAAAAACGACTTAAAAACGGCCTATTTATAATCAGTATTTTGGTGAAAATTCGGTTGTCCAAAACATCAATTTAAGGTCATTTTTAGACTTTTATAGAAACGGTCTATTTAAGGCCTTAAAACGAGATCATTAAAATGATCAGAAAATAACCTAAAAAGAGTCTACAAAACGGCCTTTTAAAAGCCATTTAATTGTCATTTAAATGACAATTAATGGCTCATTAAATAGACCGTTTTCGATCTCCTGGGTTAGATAGATGTAAACTATCAAAAACTAAGGTAACCTAAAACATTTTAAACTGCTCTCAAATATGTTTATTTTTAATAATGATGTTTGCTTAAAAGTCATTCAATCGATAAAGTACTCAAAAGAGAGCATTGTGCGAGCCAATTTTTGTCCTTAATCAAATTCAAACTCTATTGGGTCAGATGCTCGTAAAATGTCATTATTAGTATTATTAGAGTCGGTATGAACGAAAAATGTGTGACAAGAGTAGAATCGAATCGGGAATCTTGACATTCTAAGTTGATGCCATTAGTTCTACTTTCCTGGTCTACGTAAAGGTCAGATATATCACTTTTTGCTAGTGAATTTATCTATCTTCTGCTTTCTTTTTCTCCTTTAATAGTCGCAACAATCTCAATTAACAATAACTGTAATTAAACTTCAACGTTACGTATTCTTTTCACTAAGAAATCCTTCTTTCGTTCAAAATTTATTATACTTTTCTTCGTAATTTTCTTCTTTTCACTCTCTCCCAAACGAAAATTCTCTTATTACCAAAAATCGTATTCACGACGGTACGAAATCTGGACCTTTAGATGACACAAAAATGTCAATTGATCAACTTCGAATGTGCGGAGATTACCCTAGCATTTTCACAACTTTTCTAGCTTTCATAGATTTGTCGATATTGAAGTGCACATTACCAACAAAAAAAAGGGCAAAACAATGAGAAAAAACAAAATTCCCAGCAAAAACACATACTGTCTAACGACATACCAACAAAGCCCTTCCAAAAACAACTATTCCTAACAAGTCCTAACACCGCCACCGCGATTCACAAACGATCAATACCATCACGATCAGCAGACTATTCATGTATCTCTTCGATGTTCCACCGCACCAGATCAGATTTTACTTTCGACACAGCAATGCTCATCTGACGAGGACGAACTCACCAACAACTGACTCAATGATGATGACGCTAGTGAAGAATGCCAATCACCATAAAAAAACTCCTCATGTATCTCCTAGATGTTTCATGACACCAGATGATATTTCACTTTCGTCACAGGAATGCTCATCTGACGACGACGAAGTCACCAACAACTCACTTAAAGGTCACGCAGCCAGTGAAGAATGCAAATAACAAAACTATTCATGTATCTCCTAGCTGTTCCATGGACCAGATGACATTTCATTTTCGTCACAGCAATGCTCATCTGACGACGACGAGGTCACCAACAATTGACTCAATGATGATCGAACTAGTGAAGAATGCCAATCAGCACACTATTCATCTATCTCCTAGATGTTCCATGGCACGAGATCCCATTTCACTTTCGTCAGAGGAATGCTCATCTGCTTACTACGAGGTCATCAATAACTTACTCAATGACGATTGAGCTAGTGAAGAATGCCAATTAACACCAAGAGTACACTGTACATCTATTTCCTCGATGTTCCATGGCACCAGATGATATTTCACTTTCGGCACAGCAATGCTCATCTCACCACGACGACCTCATCCACAACTAACCCAATGATCATGCGGGTAACGAAGAATGCCAAAGATCATAACGAGCGGAGTATTCATCTATCACCTAGATGTTCCATGGCACCAGATGACATTTCAGTCGTCACAGCAATGCTCATCTGACGACGACGACCTCACCAACAACTGAGTCATTGCTGATGCAGCTAGTGAACAATGCTAACTATAACGAAACTATTCGTGTATCTTTTAGATGTTCCATGGCACCAGATGTCATTTCACGTTCGTCACAGGAATGCTCATCTGATGTCTGCGACGTCACCAATAACTGATTCAGTGATGATTGAGCTACTGAAGAATGCGGATTAGGAGGCTATTCATCTATCTCCTAAATGTTCCATGGCAGATGACAATTCACTTTCGTCCCACGACTGTTCATCTGACGACGACGAGTTCACGAACAGCTGACTCAGTGATCATGCACCTAGCGGAAAATGCGAACGATCACGATCACGATCAGCAGACTATTCATGTATCTCTTCGATGTTCCACCGCACCAGATCAGATTTTACTTTCGACACAGCAATGCTCATCTGACGACGACCAGGTCACCAACGACTGACCGAATGATGATGCAGCTAGTGAAGAATGACAACCAAGATTACACTGTACATGTATTCCTAGATGTTCCATGGCACGAGATGACATTTCACTTTCGTCAGAGCAATGCACATCTGACGACGACGAGGTCACCAACAATAGACTCAATGATGGTGCAGCTAGTGAAGAATGCCAACCAAGATTACATTGTACGTCTATCTCCTAGACCTTCCATGGCACCAGATGATATTTCACTTTCGGCACAGCAATGCTCATCTGACGACGACGAGGTCACCAACAATAGACTCAATGATGATGCAGCTAATGAAGAATGCTAAAGATCACACTGTACATCTATCTCCGAGATGTTCGATGGCACTAGATCACATTTCAGTTTGGTGACAGCAATGCTCATCGAACGACGAAGAGGTTACCAACAACTGACTCAATGATGGTGCAGCTAGTGAAGAATGCCAAGCAGCACACGATTCAGCTATCTCCTAGATGTTCCATAGCACCGGATGACATTTCACTTTGGTTACCGCAATGTTCATCTGACGACGACCAGGTCACCAACAACTGACTCAATGATGGTGCAGCTAGTGGAGAATGCCAATCAGCAGATTATTTATGTATGTCCTAGTTGTTCCATTACACCAGATTACATTCGACTTTTGTCACAGCAATGTTCATCTGACGACGACGGGGTCACTAATAATTGACTCAATGATGATGCACCTACTGAAGAATGCCAACGAGCAGTCTATTGATCTATCTCCTAGATCTTCCATGGCACCACATGATATTTCACTTTCGGCACAGCAATGCTCATCTGACGACGACGAGGTCACCTAAAGCTGACTCAATGATGATGCAGCTAGTGAAGAATGCAAATAACGTAAGTATTCATCTATCTCGTAGATGTTTCATGCCACCAGATGACATTTCACTTTCGTCACAGCAGTGCTCACCGGATGGGGGAACTTGGCGACGAGGGAAGGGAAATTTGGCGTGTGTGTAGTATGGTTGTTATGCAGTAGTTTCAAATAAACATAGGTTTGGGTTGTGGTTTTCTTGACTTCCATGATTATAAATGCTGTTGCTGGAGGAATTATGACTTCTTCTTCGTCGTAATGGGAAAGGTGCGATATGTCTAAGCCGCCGTTTTCGGTCGCGTCGATAATGAATAGGGTATTGCCGAAGGTTCGTGCTTTTCGAGGATTTTTGCTAGTTGAGGTAAAGCCGCTCCAGCATCTGATCTGGTCGGTAGCTTCGACATATGATTGTAGCATGTTCTGATCGATTTTTACACCTCGATAAAGTTCCGCTGCGTGTTTCGTATCGGTTTTTAACCAGCTTCTGAATAGAATGTAACAAAATGGCCCCAAAGTGTTTATTTTGCTCGTGTCGGTTTCTCTCAGTGCTTTGTTTATTAGTTTATATAGAAAGCATTCCATTGTGTATAGCTGAATGCAACACTTGTAAATTTCCTGTAGGCCCTTGTTTTCCACGGCTATTAGTTGGCGAGCTAGATATTGTGACTCACAATGTTGACCTAGTTTCTTTCCTTCGATAATTATTCCATTCGCTGCCTGCTCTACTATTTCAGCGTCAGAAAGCTCCTTGTCTTTTTTCCACTGTGCAAGAAAAATATAAGCTTCTTTGCCCCAGTCACCAGTGAATGTTTTACTCAATTCGGGTGTGAGAAAGAATCTTTCTTCTCTTAAACCTTGACTTTCATTTCTACTAGTTAGAACCCGTTTTATTGGCTGTTGTTTATTTGGATCCGATTTACTGATTTGAATGGAATCGTTTAAGTTAATCGAATAATTATCCAGTTCAGCTAGTTTCGTTTTATTCTTTTGATGAAATGCTTCTTCGATAATCGCTGATTCGATATCGGAATATTTTGTCCATTCTTCATTTCCATTTGTTGACCATGGATCAGAATTTGATTTCCAATACCATTGAGCTCGTGGTTGATCAGCTCCTTTTATCGCCTGACTTACCATTTATTAGGCTGTTTGGAACTGATGGGTCCTAGAAACGTCCTCTAGAAAAGACACGGGACAAGTAGCAGGATATTCTGTAATTGAAGCAATACTTGTCCAGCTTTTTAAGACCAACTCTGATTATGTTTACACTCTATTCATTAGTGAAACTGACACTTGTTTTTGCAGTTTAGTGCATAGTAAAAGTGTAACGAAATACATCTGGAACAGAAAACAAAACGTTTCGACCAAAGCATCTTCTCTGTGGTTTAGATAGTACCCAGGCCGATGATTCCGAAGACAAGTTCCTGAAAGATCCGACAGGATCCGACGCCGGAACATGTCGGAATCAGATGAAACCTGGCACAATCCTATCAGAAGCATGCCGTATTATGTTGAAATCCGGACCGGTGTTGTTTGCAAAGTTCTTCATGAGGCACGCCTTCTTATGCAACAAGTAGAGGCATCAAATGACTGCTTTAGTTTCAAGGTTAGCGCTCAAATTTTCGTTTTTAGTCTTCTTATCTTGAGGCTCCTGAATCTGTTTGAGAGAGATCCTTCCAGTGATGAACGAACAGAACAAGTTGATATGTGATCATTCACCCGAACAGTATCAACAACGTTGACGTACTCATATGACATGCACAAATATTAATGAGCCATATTCACCTCCTGGAGAGGGGGCTATGTGTTGGCCGCCAAACTGCTTGAAAGCTGGCCGTATAGAAGATATATATAATATGCGGCGTATGCGTATATTTTCCTCTCGTTCTCTCTCTATCGTAGGAAAAAAGATTTTTCTCTATTGTCATCAATAGAGCGTCAGATATATATATGCATACCGCATGCAGTACAGATATATATATATATATATATATGTGTTTTAGTTTTAGCACCGATACATACACATCACTCACTTTTCTGATGTCAAGTTTTACAGTGACCTCTAGTCAGACTCTGTTGCATAAATTAAGATGAACGAAAGGAAAAATGACGCCGACATTACCGTCGTCTGTACGTAGAAGATGTTGGCATCATTTACATTTTAATTTATCTTGAATGGGTGTTTTATTTTTACATTTTTTTTTGGGTGCCATCTGAGAAACATCTTTTTGTCGGAGGATCGATGATTTATTTTTATTGCTCCGGTATAGTATATCAAAATTACTGGGTAGTTTTTTTACTGACGTTTTTTTATTTGGAATAATAATTCAACACCAATAGCTAACGAAGAGAAATTGTTGAGATTATTTAAGGCTAGTTCATTTGTGTTTTAATTGAAAACTGTGCAATTATGATAGTCGAGTTTTAATATGAACTTCATTGTTTACAGTACATGACTTCTAAGATTAAGGCTCCGTTTGTATGTTATATGGCTAACAATTAAATTTAATTCACTTCTAGATTGAATAAACCCTGTTTTTTCGTTCAGAGAAAGCTCCAATATCCAAGGTAAACATTATGAATTTTCTGGAATAGATTTTTGATTCTTAGTCTTTTCTGCAGAAAGAATGACAATCGAAACGGAAACAGCTGTTGCAGACGTGGCTCCGCCCGCTCCAGTTACTGGCGAAAAAGTTAAACGAAAACGATCATCTCGCTCTTCATCGTCGGAATCAAGCAGTTCAAGTGGCAGTGGCTCATCGAGTTCATCATCCGCAACTTCGCGTTCGTCATCCTCATCTTCTTCGTCATCGAGTAACTCGAGTCGTTCTAGTACAAGTGGATCATCGAATAGCCCTAAAAAACCACGTACTGATAAAAAAACAGCAGCAGCTGGTAAAGAGAATAAACGAAATCTACCAAAATCAATAGCACCTAGTACGAAAACGACAATCGGTTCGAGTAGTAGCACCAAACAGTCAACAGGCTCATCATCTCGTACAAAACAACCAGCTCCAAAATCTCCTGAACGTAAACAAGAACGCGAACAATCTGCAAAAGTTTATGTTGGAAAATTAACAAGAAATTTAACAAAAAATCACTTGTATGAAATTATGGGTACGTTTGGAGAAGTTAAACAAATAGATTTACCATTTGATCGTGTACATCCGTATTTACATCGTGGCTTCGCGTATATTGAATATGTTCAGGCGCAAGCAGCTGAATCAGCGTGTAAATATATGGATGGTGGTCAAATTGATGGCAAAGAAATTATATGTTCCATAGTTCATAGTCATTCGTCTGCAAGACGCAAATCACCAATTAATTCATCTTCATCATCCTATCGCAATCGTCGTCCACCTTCACCTCAACGTTATCCACCTGCACGGCGTGGTTCGCCTAGAAGTCGTAACGATCGAGAACGACCATCCGCTAGACAGCAACGACAAGGTTATCAATCACCGCCACCTTCTCAATCATCTAGTCGTCGTCAGCAGTCAAAAGAACCGCCTGGAAAACGTCGAAATCCTGATTCGTCGCCTCGAAAACAAAAAGAGCGACGTTATTCACGCTCAAGTTCAAGTTCATCAAAATAGTCAACTGAGAACGATTTTGAACAATTGATCCTAGAAAAGAGACCTTTGATATTAAACTGTTTTGGTTGTAGTCAGTTTTTCTCTGTTATTGATTAGAAACAGGAAACAAAAACCACTCTTGTTTTTTATGCTGTTTGCAGACAACTGTGTTTTCTTTGTTTGTGACTTGCTTTGTCTGAATGTTAGGTGTATATAATAAACAAGAAATAGTTCGTGTAATAGAATTAGGAACGGCTTGTACGATCAAGGTTTGTTTCTGCATATTGTCATCCACTAAGCTGAAATAACACACTCCACTCAACTTCGAAGTTCAATAGCTTTTAATAACGGTGAAATTCCCAAGAACCGAGAAAATCGATGTCGATTCTTGGAAATTTGATTTTCTATAATCTGAAAAATCCGTGAGGATTTCGCATATGGACTTTTTGAAAATCGTCGAATTTCCGACTTTACAGTGTAACTACTTACTTACTAATTACTTTTAGTCAAGAGAATTTGTCGATGGCTTACCGGAACCATATCGCTATTCTCACATATGTGTGTAGATAGGATTCGGCGGCAGAGTAGGGGAAGTGAAGGATGGGGCTAGCAGTTCTTCTAAAGGTAACAACCACAAGATCCAGATACATTTTTAAGTTTAAATGATATGCACTTTATCATAAGAGTCCTTTCAAAAAATATAGTTTTATTTTCATTTTCAACTAAAGCTTTTAGCGTCATCACAATGTCCGAATAAATCACTGAAAATTTCTAAAATTATTCGAATAAAAAATTCCATTACATACTGACTAAATTATAGCACCTTTCTGTTTGCTTTGATAAGTTTGGGACGAATAAAAATTTTTCAAGCCTTTTGTTTAATCACGTTTAAGAACTTAAATAATGCATACTTATTCTTTTGAAACAAATCAAAGCGAAGTGAAACAAAATCTATCCTCATCTGGTTTGGTACCATGTCGTACTTTCGCAATCTATTATGGAACCTAGGCCGTCTGTAGTACGGAAAAAAGAATTTATAGTTACGCGAAAAATTGTTAATTTTACTATTTGCTGTAAATCAATGGGACGTACCATTGTCTTACAGTCCAATGGAAAAGGTCTTTTTGAATTTTTGTGTATGTGCACGAGAGAGGTTTATTTGATCTCTATCTTTTAAGCGTAATGTCATATTTAACACTTGTTGTTGAGGAATTGATTGTTGCTTTGAATACGAAGACCGTTACATGTTTATTTTGGAAATCGATTCACTTAAAATCCCCGAAAGGATTTTTTGATAAAAACGAGTTTTGAGTCCTTCAGGCCCGTCCCTTTATTCATTAAATATGAATTTTTATACAATTTGATCCGGGCTGAAAAACTAGCATACTTAGATCTTGTCGACGTTTGGTTGATGTAAATCCGGGAGGAGCTGCGTGAAAACCACCCAGTTTTGAACACTGCCCACCTATCTAGGTAGTAGAAGGATCTATTTTGTAAGTATCATGTGGTTCCAAAAGGAAGAAGATTCAAAAGTCTGATTGTTTACTTTGAGTGAAGAACAAAGGAACGAAAGATATTTTGAAAATATGTCTCGTTAAGCATTTTCTCTGGTAAAAGAAAGAAAAGAAATATGAAAGCAAAAACAGGAACGCCCGA